ATGAATACAAGTATTTAACATTAATAATGATTGTAAAGCTTTATACTTAAGAACTCTAAATTATTATCTTTACAATTGCATATGAAATATTTGTTCTCACCTTTTGCTTCAGATAAGGCAATCAAATTTGCATTGTATTTAATAATAAATAGAGGCTTATAAATTACACAGACACACATATGTAAAATTGAACACCAAAAGCGCAACAACTTTTTAAAATTATGAGGACAGGCTAGGTTGCAGTCTACTACACTTTCCATTTTCCTCCTTGTTTTACTTTCCAATGTTCAATTAAAACAAAGATTTTAAATAAGTAATCTTATATTTATGCACAGCATATCAACGATAATTAAAATAGAATAATTGCACAAACTGAACGCAGGCTCTTTCATTAATAGTTTACACAAAAACATCACAACCCTTAAAATTTATTTGAATGCAGTCTTTATTAATATTTAAGTTGGCTATCTATTCCGTGGATCAAACACTCAAACAGCTTCCATAAACTTTTGTACTGATTGCCAAAAATTGGGATTTCGAAGGATAAGTAGCCAAAAGAATTCTCAGAATTGAGGAAACAAAAGTAGACCAGTATATCAGGTAAATGATGACACTTCACTGAAATTATGCAATCAATTGTTAATTGTGTGGTCTTGAGCATTTAAGCACAATTTAAAAAACATTTACCAATAAAAAAATTTTCATTGAAATACAGCCATTTATTAACCTTTTGCACTTTGAGTATTTGACAATACAATGAGTAAATTAACAATACAATGAGGCCCCCTTGTATTGAAACTAATTTTTCTATAATTTTGCTGCTTTGCCTTGTATTTACTAATTTCGAAATAATAAATGCGGCAATGTTTAAAAATCAAGGTTAATATAAAAGTAAAATATAGCTTTTACATACAAGCAGAGGGCTAAAAAAAATAATAAATAAAAGATTGACTTAATTAAATAATAAAAGATTGATATAACCGAACTAATTGGTCTATATTTTTTCTGCTTATTCTAATATTTACTTATATTGATATAACAAATGGGGTAACGCCTAAAAATAAACAGAAAATGTATGCTTTTTTGTATATGCTTTTATGTATACGCAAAGAATATAAAAAAAAAATGATTGGCTGAACTTTTTAGTTTTTGTGCGCCGGAAATAATTTTTCTATATTTCAAGGCTTAATCTCGTGTTTACTCATAATGCAATAAGGAATCAGGCAAAGTTTTAAAACTATTGGTTTAAAACTGTTGGCAAAGTTTTAAAACTAAAGGCAAAAGTATAGGCTTTTAAATATATGCAGATAACAAAAAAAATCTTCAGAAAGCTTTCCTAGTGACCAGAGGCTTTCTTTATAAAGGAGAATACTAAGATTGATAATAAAAAATATTTTGCTATAATAACCATACTGTAAAAAAAAAACTGAAAACAAAATTAATTCTGCAATCAAAAGTAATGATAAATATAAAAAAAGTAAAGTAAAGATAAAAGGTTACTGAGATTGATAATAAAAAATATTTTGCTATTGGCGATCGAAATGGGCTGCAGGTGGCGTAGAGCAGAACTCTTTTCCTATGGCAACACTTCACATGCTTTCCCCATTAGCGTGTGGAAAGTCATAGAGGAAGGAAGTATGTTAGTTTCTCTCTTGATTTTCATATAGATTAAAATCTTTTAACTTGAAAAACTATATGGAACTGAAAACTACATTAAACATAGTTCTAAAGAAAAGTATCATGGAAATTTTAAGAAATATTTATATTATATAAAAAGGAAAAGTATTAAGAAAAGGGAAAGTATCGTAGTACATTCCTATACAACTGAAAAAAGGAGAGGAGGGAAGGGAGAAGGGCTAAAGGCATGAAACCGGTCTCTCCCCAGATGGCGTATTCGAGTGTTGCGATCGCGAATAATAACCATACTGCAAAAAAAAACTGAAACCAAAATTAATTCTGCAATAAAAAGTAATGATAAATGTAAAAAAAGTAAAGTAAATATAAAAGGTTCTTAATTAACCATTCGATTTATATACGATACAACAAAACTCCGCTGGAATCGAACCCGCACTCATAAGATTAGCTGTTTGGTGCTCCATACCATACTGCGGTACTATATTCAACTTGCGAAGGGTGCATCTGGGAACCATTATGCATCATGGTGAAGCCCCTAACTTGTCAATAATCTCGCAATTTGGTGTAGTAATTTAATACATCATAACAATAAATTTGAACTTAATACACATGGGTTACATTAAGAAAAGTTGTAGAACATTATGCACAGTTGTAACGTGCTATATTCTTCTATTAGGAAGGGAACGTTGACATTACAGATAGGACGTCTTGTGTTCAAACTATTTTGTCAGCCCCTTGTGCCAAAATAATTTTATCACTTTGATTCGTGTTGACTTTTTTTGAAGTAATCAATGGGGCAAACTTTGAAAAATAAAGGTTTATGTAAAAGCAAAATATAGCCTTCAAGTACACGCAGAGAACACACAGAGTCTCTTTGATTTGATCACGCACAATCAGAGTCGGATTATACCTTTCGTAGGCCCTAGGCAGAGCCGTTTTTGGGCCCTCCCTTCCTTCCCCCACTCCTCCCCTCTTTTCAAAATATATGCTAAAATTTTCTTGCATATTTTTTTTAAATTTTTATTAATATGGATTTTACGCACTTATGTCTATTGAATACGACATTTTGCGTAGTTTGGAATTCGACAGCATAATACAAGATTTCGTTGAATCCAAAAATTGCAAAAAAGTAATATATTAGATCATAAGATTCTGCAAAATAATTTATTACCGAAAAATATTATATTTTTATTTGTATCTTCATAATTTTGTGCAAAATACACTTGTTGTTTTTAAAGCTAAATTATTTTTGTCAACAAATTTCTTTCTCCCAAGTTTTTCGTATGCCCCTGAATTTCGTAGGCCCTAGGTATGTGCCTAGTGTGCCTATAGGTTAATCCGGCCCTGCGCACAATGATTTCCAAGATATCTTCAATAACATTCCCCTTTCTAAACTAAAAGGTCTTCTTTTGAATTATTACTATGATTATAAAAGTAGCCTTAATTACGATTTTGTTTATTGGGAAATTCTGACTAATATTTGTCTTTTTTACCCACTGGCAGTTTTCAAAATGGACAAAACTGGGAAGAATGTTTCTCCCCTATACACTATTCTCCTATCTATTAACATTTGTTACCGGTTTTGCTATGCGGAGAAGATTGCAGGTTAAAATACTAATTTTTACATGCAGTGGGTTAATAATTATCTTTACAATGGGAAACATATTTTAATACAAATTGATGAAATTTCACAAGGATCTAATTTTTCATCACTCTTAGCTAACTTATTTTTATACTATTGTGAAAAAAAAATTATACTTTTAATATATTTCAGATTTATTGCTGATTTAATTATTTTTAATTTTCAAAATTATGCAATTTTGTTAAACAATATTTACCCCGAAGAATTAATCTTTCTTCGTAATTATGACGATAATATTAATTTTTTGGATTTAAGTATTAAAAAAAGAAGATATCTGAATTGTTGATGTTTACAATAAAGGAAATGATTTTAAATTTAATATAAATAAACTAATTACAAGGAATTCTAATGTTTCTGAAAAGACTTATTTAAATACGGTTTTATCAAATGAATAAAATCAAAAGAATTTGCAGTAATGTTTATTTATTGAAAAAAAAAACAAATTTTACGAACCCTTCTAAAACTTGATAATAATAAAAAAAAATGGATATCTAACTAATGTAATTAAACTCTGTATAGAATCATTGAGTTGGTTGTATGTTATAATTGTCAATAAATTTATTAAACATTTCTTTGCGAACTAAATTGATATTTTCACCATGTGAAAATCCTATTCGGGAAAATCCATGACAAAAAAGTCTTCCAATATTTAATAAAGAATTTTTAAAAAAATCATTAAATTTTAATAATATCTCTAAACTCATCAATATTAAAATTTTATAATTGAAATTCAACCTTATTAATTATAAACTTTTAATTATCCAGTATAATATTATTAACTTGCGCAAATTATCATTTAGGTCTGAATTTTGATGTTTGCATATTGCAATATATAATATTGCTGTTGACAATGTTGTTGACGTATGCCTGTTTAGGCAGAAGGGAAGCGTTTGTTCTTGTTTTCCAGTGGCGCCATCTATGACCAAGAATTCGACTTCTGCCACACGTACGTCACACCCGTTTATATGGCGGACCCATTCATACATTCATTCATCCACAGATCATAATTTTGACCTGAATCTGAGAACGATCGATCTCCAATCCAGTACCCAGGTATTGATTTGTTATGGGAACATGGAGGACTTTTGCGACTCTACAGATTTAACGTGTGTCAGTCACTTTACTACACGGGGAGTCTTCGGCCGGCGGAGTTCGAACCCACGAATTCTCGGACATGGGCCCAGCGCCCTACCGATCAGGCTATCCCGGCCCTATTGACAAGGTAAGAAGTGTATTATACCGATTCCTTTTTTTCTTTTTTTACGATTCTGACGTTTTGAAGAGACTCGTCTTCAAATGACGATTCTTTTTTATACACAAATGGATACTGTTTTCTCCACTAGGGTGCACTGCAAGTTCTTTACTGCCTATACTTCTGTTTCACCGCTTCCGGCGTATTTTAAGGCTCACAACGTAATCGTTAGTATTTCGTGTATCAAACACAATATTACGTTGTGAGTCAAATGGTTTCAAAATACACCGGTAAGATTAACCTGGAAGTATATAATGTAAAGAGCATGTAGCGCATCCTAGTGAAGAAAGCACCATCTATAAGCTCTAGTAAGCAGCCGTAAACTTTAAAACCGGAAAAGGTAAACAAAAAAACAACAATTAATAATGGTAACCCTGTTTGTGTTGCCAACAGTAAAAACTGGTTTTCACTTCTTCTAATCTGAAGCTAATATCAATCAATATCAGGATAAGCGCCATCTATTGCCTTTTTCGATCGCTAATTGCTATGTCTGTTTGACAGATCTGCACAAAAAGAAAAAAGAAGAAAAAAATACTAAGCGTGTTGTCCGAATATCAACATGGCCGCGCTTGTTAATGGTTATCTGGATCCTATCTCGAAACAATTAAGTGTTGGACAACATAATAACTGTGATAATCAACCTCCCAACAAGGATCATGATGCTATCAAACTGTTTATTGGTCAAATTCCCAGAAATTTGGAAGAGAAACAACTGAAACCAATTTTTGAACATTATGGTAAAATATATGAGTTGACAGTACTCAAAGACAAATATACTGGTCTACACAAAGGTGATTGTTTATGTCTTCGTTTTCAGATAACGAATTTAGTTACATTTCTTTTCATTCCAAGGAAATTTGTGACTATTTTAATAATACCTTTATGAAATGTATGAGTCATTTACACCGGCATTCTCTTTCATACTGTTATCGGCGTCTGTTTATTGTTCTTTTTAGTATGATATTAGTGTTTGTATGAGTTACTGTAATTTTTGCTTTAGTTGTGTTTATTTTTTAATAATGTATTCAAGGCATCTTTCTGAAAAGATTCTTTTTCCAAAATAATGCGAAATTTCGTTTGATTATATTTAGGCTATGTTACATTTTCTCATATTTATTTACTTAAGGATTCAACGATATTACCTTGCTATATTGTTTAATGATTTCTATTTCTGTAATCAAGCAGTAGCTTTTTCTTTTAAAATCGCACAATAATTAGCACAGTGGGACAAAATATAATTGATTACAAATAATCACTTATCAGGATTGATAATGGGCAAGACTAGAAAATTAATTATGGCCACTTTTCGTGTTTAAAGTACCTTAATAATTATGCTTCTAAGTTATAAAAGAAGAACTTGTATTATATTTTGTTTAAAAAATATTTGTATAAGTAACTAATAGTATTTTATAATTCATTTTAGAAACTATTATAAATGCATGATATTAAAAGATTACACTAAACCACAGGAGAAACGAAACTTTTCATCACAAATTGTCATTCACTTTCATTACTAAATTAAAAATAAATAAATATTGATTTCAAATAAAAATAGTAAGTCATAAGTTTCAATTGCTGAAAAAAAAATCAAAATGCAAACAAATTATTCGAAGAGAACTTCTCCATTGCCTAATCCTGAGTTGTCTTCTCATAATTTATTTTTCTTTTTGATATTTTAAAGATTTCTTTTCAGTATTCGAAACTTCATGGCATATTCTAGGTTCTAAACTCATGTTTTCTATGTTTTGAATTAGTTGAATTCCAAGTATAACGGAGGGTAAATTACGTTAGTATTTTATTCTGAAAAATATATTAAATATTTCTGAAAGCAGAAAATTCTGCAAGAATATGCTACTTTAGGGTGCAATGTAATTAATTGGCATAAAATAGTTAAAAAGCCTCATAATTAAATTACAAGTTAATTAAAAGTTCTTGTAACAGAGGGGTCAAATAAAATCCCATATTTTTTTACATTCACTGTTATTTACGCTAAATTCTATGAATTGGACCATCCTAAATATTATCTGTAGGTAATTTTATTTTTAAATTATCATATTTCATGGTAAAATAAAGTACTATAAGACTTATAAAATTGCAAACACATTTTTATTAAGTCCAAATAATGTGTCTTAACAGAGACGACATCTTACAAATTTGGCAAATTGTTAAACCGAAATATCACTGTTAAAATTGACTCTTTGGTTATTTAAAGTCGGAGTTGGCTGCATTGCTATAATATCTAACATTATACCCATGCTAGTTTTTATTTTACCAAACCATGTTAAAAAAACATGCACATTGCTTATTTCTTTCTCAATTTAAGTTATTTTGGGCTACAAAATTAACTACCCTATTTTTTCCTTGAACTTTCTACACTTACAAAACTATCTTTAAATCTGTTAGGGTCACAAGGTTTTCCAAGTTCCCATAACAAATCAAAACTTCTGGCATTACTGATCAGGAGTCCCCTTTTCTTTTGAATTGAGTTCAAAATTACAAGACTACAGAGTTGAACATTGGTAGCTGTAAACTCAAATTTGGGTCAGCTGTTCAACAATAGTTATAAAATGAAAAATCAATTGTTGCAAGTCGCTATATTTAGTAATTCTATGTAATTGTTAGGCAAACAACAGTGTGATTTAAATAGTAAATTCACATTTTCATGAGTAACACATAGACATATTTATGGTGTTTTACCTACGCATAAAAAACGGATAGGTCGTAGTACGGCAAAATTAAATTTGCCACTTTTTATGTTTGGATGCATCTGCTTTAAAACTTGATATGCTTCCATCAAGGTGAACTGCAAATACTTCTTTTTTTTTGCTTTGTGACTTTCTGTCCATTTACTCTGACTATCCTGTACTCAGTTGTATCAGAAGTCTGGTAAGAAAGTTTATCAGATGAGTAGTTGTTTTTTTGTTACATCAGAAATTTCATTACTAGGCTGTTTCTTTTGTTATGTTAGTAAGGTTACAGAGTATGTGTTGAACAGTACAACGTTTTCTTGGAGATACAGGTAATGCACTTTTGGCTTCTCCAATGTCTAAGGAGTATTATGAAGAGAATATCCTTCCTGAATTTCTGCAGCTTGTATAAGTGCTTTTTTATTTTTCCTTTGTTTTTTTTCTCTCAATTTATCTATTTCTCTGTTATTTTTTTTCTTCAAAATAATTCTGTTATCATAAGTTTTCATTTTATGTTTATCTTTCTTGCAAGTATCTTTTCTGGGACGTTCTAGTTCTCTATTCTCACATTTTTTCTACTGCTGTTTTTTGTCATATTGATTAGTCATTCAAAAAACTTTTATCTATAAACTAAACACACTATCAAATAAAAATGGCAGGGCTTTGTAAAAAAAGTGTGCTCTAACAGTGGAGGAACTGGTTTAAACTAGTTGAATCAGGATGCATTAGCTCTTGTTTACATTTCTAGAGTTCCTTTTTAATGGTCATAAACCAATTAGCTTTGTTTACATTTAGTGTAACTGAGTGGACATTTAGTTTTGTCCTCTCTGTTACGTCCCCTGTTATATTTGAAACTTTAAATTTTATAGAGTTGGCGAGGTTTAGGACAGAATGGATTAAACCCGAGTTTAAACTGTCCTGTTCAAAACACCTTTGACCAAAACTGTCCAAAGCCCTTTTGTTCAAATTGTCCTAATCCCTTTTGTTCAAATTATGCCGCAATTTAAAAAAAAAATTGTGAAAAATAAAAGATTAATTTTTGAACAAAGCGCAAATTGAAGACAAGTTTTTGTTTTATTATAAACGTTTATCGTTATTTTTTATATTGCATTATTTATTCTTATAGAAAAACATATTTTATCAGTATTAAAAGCATATTTAAAGGATAAGGTATTTACTTTTGTTCAAATTATGGCCTATGCTGATGATATTGATATCATAGCAAGAACCCCTAAAGACCTAAAGCAGGCATTCCTGGACTTGGAAAGAGAGGCCAAAAAAATGCACCTCTCAATTAATCAGAGTAAGACAAAGTATATGCAATGTATCAACTATACCGATACCTCCACGCACATCGAGATTGGAGAGTATAAATTTGAAAAGGTGAGCTCTTTCACCTACCTTGGCTCTGAAATCAACTCCGAAAACTCAATTTCCACAGAAGTAAGGAAGAGAGTAACTGCAGCCAACAAGTGCTTTTATGGCATAAGAAAATTCCTTAAATCTGACAACATTAAAAGAGACACCAAGTTGCTAATATATAAAAGCCTAATAAGATCAGTTCTCACTTACGCATCTGAAACCTGGACCTTGTCCCAAGCTGATGAGAGGACCATCGCTGCTTTCGAGAGGAAGATACTCCGGTCCATTTTTGGTGGTGTGTGTGACAAGGNCAGCATTTTTATTTTTTAAGTTGTTTATTTTTATTTCTTTTAGAATTCTTCTTTTTTTAGCGAAATGTTTTTTAACCTAACAGAATTCTTTGCCGACTGTTTTGTCTATAAATGAAGAAAATAAAGTAAATATTTAAGTGTTGTGAAAAGAATCTTATTTAGTTGTACAAAGTACTTCAGAAAAAATTTGGGAGCCACGTAAGAGAATTATGTATATTAGATCACAAACACATCATTAAAAGGCAGAATGCTTTGGTGTTTTCGAAACGTAAACAAAACAAAGCAAATGTTGCCATCAGCGGAAAAGAAATACAGCCAAAATTTAGGATCCACGTAAGAGAATTATATATATTAGATTATGCGTACAATGGTTACACATATAAAATCTTTTTCTTTTACCAATATTCAAGGTTTTCAACACTTTAAGACAGTTTTAGTCAGTTTAGGATAGTTTAAGAGAGTAAAACCCCATACCTGAGTAAGGTTTTTTGTGTAATGAATAAAAAGAATTTAAAAGAATAATTGTAACAGGATGATCCGGGGGAAAGTCGAAAATACCGCTCCCCCAGAAAGCAAGAAAAGGATTGCGTTGGTGTGGTGGAAAGAGTGTCAAATTGAATAGGTTGTGACAAGTCTGTGTCGAATAATAGTAATTTTTTTGATGGCCATTTTAATTATTTTAGTCTAGCTATCTTTAATCTTTCCCTTTAAAGATTGGATGTATTCACTTATATTCATTAATAATCTTATTTTTTGTTAAATATTATATATATTGTAATTATAATTACAGGGTGCATAGCCTTTTTAAAAAGTGCTTAAAGGTGCTTATTTTCGTTTTTTTAAAAGCCCTTAAAGATGCTTTTTTTTATTGGGTGTTTTTAAAAAGTGTTCAATTTTTCCTTTTTCAAAATGAGATTTTTCCTTTACCATGTTGATTTTCTTTACGAATTATTAAAAAGACACAATTTACATTGTACTATTCAACGTTTTCACAATTAATTCAACCCCAATCTGTTTCGCCGTATTGTGCGTCTGTAGCGAAAACAACAATCGTTTTACATTATTCAAAATTTCATGATTTTTTACTATTGTCAAAAACAATGCCAATTTTTTTTCTTCTTTTGACATGACGGTTAAAACAAAATAAAACTGTCAATTTTTTTAAAGTGCTTAAAAATAATATTTTTTCAGTGCTTAAAATGTGCTTATTTTTTGTTGAATAATTTGGCTATGCATCCTGAATTACAATTGTAATCATGAAATATGATTCCTTATCTTCTGGTTTATAATAGTAATCTAAAAATTTTATTTAATGTCAAAATAGGGATATTTTTTTAGTACTTCTTATGAAGAGGTTCTTAAAACTATGTTCTGTGGTTTTCACTCGCTGTTCTGCAATTATTGTTATGACAGTCTGCGGTACAATAGCACCGTTTATGTTTAAAATTTCTTCAGCCATTTTAGAAAGGATTAACAATAAATTGAAATAATTGCTTAGTAACTGAGTTTTTATTTCTATAAAAATACAAAATCATTCTAAATAATTACTACCTAACAAGAGGAATTTAAGTAAATACTTAACGTATAACTAATTTTTTATCATTACTTAAATTATTACTTAAAGGAGCTCAAGAAAATAAATAATAACTAAAGTGTTGCTAATATATAGAAAAATACCCAAATTGATGGTGCAACATAATATGAATATAGATTATCAAATTTTTTCAACTGTAAAAAAATTTAATCAAGATAAATATTGTTTATTCATATAAATTTGAATTAATTATAAATATATCTATCAATTGTAAATAGTAAATGTCATGTTAAATAAGTATTGTGCCACAAAAAGTAAAGAAGTATCATAATAGCTTTTTAATCATTAAAGAAGTAAATTCCTTCAAAATCCTTTTTTTTTTTTCTTTCTGAAAATCCTGAAAAAGTTGGGGAAATTTTATACAGAGCTTTGCCAGATCTCCTGGATATGTTGATTAGTATTATCAATTATTCACCAATTAACCCAGTAGCTTTTATTATTAATTATTCTACTCCAAAAAAGGGGGGAAGTATATTTCAAAGTTTAATGAAAGAAGTTGAAGTTTAATGATATCGGGGAGTTTCATTTATAAAATATCAAACTTAATTTTGACATTTATCTATCATTTATCTATCTATTATCTTTTTTATCTATCGGTATATTAATTTAATTGTCCATATCCTTTTAACCATTATGCGTTTGTAACCAATATCGTAACAAAATAACCTATGTATATATATTTTTCAAATTTGTAATGTTTTTTATTTTTGCAGGATGTGCATTTTTGACATATTGTGCACGAGAGAGCGCCATTAAAGCACAAAATGCTCTTCACGAACAAAAAACTCTTCCTGGTGTAAGTGTGCATTTTCTGATTTTAGAATGTTTTTTTAATGGAAAGCAAATGTTATGTTTGTATTTCAACTTTTCATAGTAAACAATACAAATTCAAAAATCCGCACTACTCAGGGGTTTGGAAAGGCCAGATTTTAGAAAGTTCTGGAATTTCAATGTTACTTAAGCTGATAAAAATGTTAAAGTAACTGGGCCAAAATTATAAAAAAGAAAAAAAAAAAATACATTTCATTCCATCATATACCCAAGTGGTTTTTCACTCATTCATAGCTGCCAATTCTGTGTTTTGCCAATTTCTCCTGGTGTATTTTTTTTTTTCCAATGGCAGACATGAAAGACAAATTTGTAGCCAAGAACAATATAAAGAAAGAACAAAAAAACGGAAACAAGAGCTACAAAAATAAAGAGTCTATAGGTCTGTAATAATGCATCTCGCCCGCCAATATCGTTCCCACAAGGGCCCAGGAGGAAGTGCAGGGCAATGTCTTAGATGGTTAGCGTCTATTTCTTCTTGTTGGTTACATAATGGGCAAAGGGGGCTTGAAAAGATTTTAGTGAAAACATCAATATCTAAATCTTACAAAGACAACTAGAACACCTAGTCAGAAAATGCAACACACAAATACACTGGGTGGCAGCGCACACAGGTAACATAGGCAATGAAGCAGCGGATTTAGCGGCTAAAGACGCAGCAGCAGGACACGGGATTCCCAGCGGTGTTCTGCTTCCACCATCGAGCCTGAGAAATAAACTTAAAAACATCACACAAAAACTTTGGCAAGCATACTGGGACGAAAATGAAAAAGGCTATACAACAAAATCATATTATCCTAAAGTAGACACAGACCGACTCATAGGCCATCCAGCAGCAATACAATTCCTTACAGGACATGGCTTCTTCCCCTCATTCTTACACAGGATGCAGCGAATAAACACAGACACATGCCCATGCGATGACACAGGTACCCCAAGTCACTACCTACATGACTGCCCACTAACTGAATCATACCACCTCAAAAAACCCAATGAACAAGGCAGAACGATATTTGCAGACAGTTTCAAAAACAAGCATATTATGCAAAAACTAATAAATATTCTAGCCATAACCAGAAACATCACAGACAATATGTCATAAACCTTATAATAACTTTGTAAAAATACTGGCAGCAAATACAATGTTGAGGTGTCAGGGCTCCAGGCAAACCATTGCTGCAGCATAAAAACACACTCTGGCCCCACCCCTGACCAGCAAGCATTTGGCAGGCAGTCAGTCAACACAAGCTGTTGTCCGTGAGGCAAATAAAATAAAAAAAAAAAAAAAAAAAAACTCAAGCTCGATCCACACAAACAAGAGATGGCTTAACTGTCTATAAACGCACACACAATAAAAAACAGTAATCTATATCATGATCCGCCAAAACACTGCCTCAACTACTACTCATAAGAAAAATAGGTAAAACACGCAACACAACATAAACAAAACATACATACCACACAAGCCTCACCACTGACCCTGCTCCCAGTCCCTGGGGACAGACAGTGAGTCCGGAGCTTTTCAGCTACCCGTGATGGCCATTTATGTTAAATGCTTAAAAAAAAAAAAATAAAAAAAAAAAATACCTGTGACGTGGCTAGCTATTTTATATTGTACTGTTATTGTCGATGTCCATTCTTTGTGGCTGTAATGTAACGCTGCTAGTTATCTATGTAAAATTAAATTGTCGCTACTAGGCCGGGATAGCCTGGTCAGTGGGGTGCCGGGCCCATGTCCAAGAGTTCGTGGGTTCGGTCCCTGCTGGTCGAAGACTCCCCGTGTAGTAAATGGTGACTGATGCACGTTAAATCTGTCGAGTCTCAAAGTCCTCCATGTTCCCATAACAAATCAATACCTCTGGGGGTACCGATCCAGAAGTTTCCTTGTCTTCTGGATAGGTTCAAAATTACAAGGCTACGGCGTTGAACATTTGTAGTCGTAAACCCAAAAATTGGGTCGACTGTTCAACGGCGCTCATAAAATAAAATAAAATATCTAAATCTTGTAAGCATCGCATTATCTCAAATTGCTTGGCGTAAGAGAATCCGCCTGCATTCCACTGCAGCACACGCAGGGAGGAAGCACAACGAGGGAGACACATTATGCCAAAGTTGTAGATCACTTAGAGTTACCCAGGCTGCACCACGAGGAGGTGGATCTACATTGCAGCCCTCTCCTGGTGTATTGGTTTAATAAAAATTCTCCTGGTTTTTGTACATTTTTAAAAATTCCCTGAAATATTGTAAGTTTCCTTAAAAAAATCCTTATTGAAATAGAATTTTGGTGCACATTATTGCTTGCTTGAAAATTTAAACAAATGTCACTAATACATAAGGAAGCGAGCCCCATTTAAAAAACTAAGCTAACTATTTTAGATGAATTAAATGCCTATTACTATTCAAAATTATGAATGAACATAATGCATAACATTTCAAGATCATTTAATGTGAAATCATAACTGGAAAGTATTCCAGTTTTTTCTATTTTGAAGACTACAAATACCCCTAAAATTCCCTATGTGTAAAATTTTTAGTATACTTTGCTACAATTATCATGAAATTTATGTTATTTTGTAAAATTTACTGGATATTTTCATATATGTGTTAGCAGCTATGCTAATTTTTTTTGCAGTTACTTGGCAAATCTCGATGCTTTAATATATTATTAGGACATGGGAGTTTTAAATTTAGCATTTGAGTAAAAAGTTTTTAAGCAAAATTATAATTCCAACTGAACATTAAAGTTTAAAAAGTTAACTCTTAGTAATAAATAATATTCTAATTGGGAGAATAGAATGATTTTGAAATGATTAATTGCAGAGTCTTATTATTTGAAATAAAATTGACAAATTTGTTTTAAAAAAATATATTTTTTAATGAGTAATAATTCTTTTACATGGTAATTTTTATTATAGTTTAATTAGTAGTTTTGAAAACATATTTTTAAAGTTTTTGTGGCATTTTTGAGTAGAAAAAATATCAGTTGGCATAATTTTCTTTAATAATAATGTGGGCAGTGTTCTCATTGGCTTTCAACTGACCTAATTTGAGTTAACCTGAGTTTGGCTAATCTGCCAGGAAAAAAAAAAACATGGATAAATGGGGAGAAAAAAAAAATGCTAGAAAAATTACTTTTTTCATCTTACTCCAAATTACTGATCTAAATTCAACTATGTTATACAAACTACAGAACAAGTTTCTAATTTACAAATAAATATAAGTAACATCGAAAAAATATTTTATTTTTCAATTATTTTTGGCTCTTATTTGAATTCCACCTTTCAAATTCAGTTACATAAAAAAGCTATTTAATATGAATTTATTTATTAGTTTGTTCACATTATTACTGGCATTTATTTTGTTGCAGATGACACGACCTATTCAAGTGAAACCAGCCGATAGTGAAAACAAAGGAGGTATATTTATGGTTGCATACAATATATTTTATCTTTTCACATACTTTATGCGTTAAATTTATAGCTGTGCTAACTATTACAATTCATCTGTATGTATTACGATGTCATAGTCGAGATAAGGGTTTTTTGAACTTCCATAACTATCTATTTAAAATAATTTTTTTCTTCTTAAGTACCAAGAATTATCAAATTTTGTTGTTTACAATTAATCTAAAATAATTTATTCTACTTCTTAAACTATTACTAAGAACATTAATTAAAAACAAAAATGATTTGACAGAGACAAGAAATAAAAAAAAAATGATCTCTCTCTCCCTTCAAACAAGCTGTTCTGAAAATATCTTCTTTCCTTATAGAAATGCTAAAAAACTTAAACTCAATTCTGAAATGCTGTAAGCAAAATTTTTTATTGGTTTAAATTCAGTATGATAAAAAGGCAATAATGAATAGTTCTAATTTAAACAAAAACTGGAACACTTGAATCAGAATAATTAATTTAATTTTATAATTTTAATGAAGTATCAAATTTCAATATTGTATAATTTTTAATTTAGTACATTTATCTAAGTGTTGCTTTAACTTTTTTTGAAAAAAATTCTATAATAAATTCACGCGTAACTTTATTATTAGACAGGTAGAAAGTTAAGTAGGATATACACCTTAAAATTGCAAAAGTTGATTTTTGAGAACTCTAACTATATATTACAAGGCTACACGGTATATTGTATTACACTATATACAGGGTGCATAGCATTTTTAAAAAGTGCCTAAAGGTGATTATTTTTGATTTACGTTTTTTATAAAAGCCCTTAAAGGTGCTTTTTTTATTCGGAGTTTGTACAAAAGGCTTTCTATCTATGTTCCCTATTTTAAAAAGAGATTTTTTCTTTGCCGTATCGATTGTCATTCTAAATTACAAAAAATCCGTGATTATGTAAAGTTTCTAAATTTTATTGATTTTATGTTTATAAATTAAGAACTTTTAAACGACAGAAAAAGATTATTTTTATTACTGCATAGATCTTAATTATGATTTTTTTTTTTTTTTGGAAAGTGATTAAAATTATTTTTTGAGTGCTTAAAAGGTGCTTATTTTTTGTTGAAAAATCTGGCTACTCACCCTGAAATATAATGTATATAGTATGTATAATAATGTGTACAATATTGTATAATGTGTTTATTTTATATGCAGTATATATATATTACAATATATATTGCGGGGCTGACTATTGTTACAGGGTGTGGCAAAAAAAAACAGACAAACAATATTTAACATAACTTAATTAAAAATAATTAAATTGACAAAATATACCAAATAATAAGGAGATTAGACATATACTAATAAATAAATGTATTTGATATTTTAATAGCCTTTTGGAGCCATGCAACAGTAAAAGTGCTTATTGAAATTTTCTGTTATAGGCTGCAGATCCTCTACCTTCAACCTATCCCCTTCCCACCGAAGGAATAGTTTTAGAGACTCCTTTTTTTACGGAGGCAAGCGAACGATTTTACACTATTTATAATTAATGTGGTTTTAAATTAGTATCCATGGTGTGTAGCGTTTTTAAAAAGTGCTTTTTTCGATTTTCGTCTTTTAAAAGTCCTTAAAGGTGCTTTTTTCATAGGGTGGTTTTAAAAAGTGTTCAATTTTCCCTTTTCAAAAATTAGATTTTTGTTTTCTTTGCCATGTCGATTTTCGCCGCGTATTATGCAAAAGTGTGGTTTTCACATTGTTCTATTCAATGTTTTCACAATTCATTCGACTACAATCCATTTTGGCATGGCGTCAGTATGTAGCATATGAAACCACCTATCATTTTACATGTTTGATGAAATACTTGGGAGTGACTACTGAGCTGAGTTCGGTGAGGTTCTTGCACTCTTTTGTGCAACTCTGCTGCATTTTGCAAGATATTTTCCATTTCAGGCTTCATTTTCCACCCTCTAAAATCGAACCGAAAAATCTCTTACTATTTTTATGGTGGCTAATATAATCAAAAAAAAGAGTTTAATGTCTGAAACTAGTTATTTTATCATGATCATGTGAGGTCTTTGATAATTATTTTGCATTTTGTTAATGTATATAGTGATTAAAAATATTTTTTGATTGTTTGAAAGGTGCTTATTTTTTGTTGAAAGATTTGGCTACGCACACTGGTATCTTTCAGGGACTCTTTCTTCAAAAACAGATAGATGTCTCCTTTTGTTTCTTGAAAAATAAAGTTCTTGTGTTCAATTTAATTTCAAACTAGGCAGATTTTAAACCTTGGCAGTTATATATATGTGATTATTTTTTTAAGCAAAGTGTTAAGGATGAATATTTAAAAAAGCAATTATCTTGGGTTATAAATGGACAAAATTGAAAAATCTAGTGTGAGATCATGTGAAGAAGCTTAAGCAAAAATTAGCTTTAAATCATCTGCAATTTATATTATGCCATAAAGAAACCAAAATCAGGGATTAAAAGTTTCTTTAACAGTGGTGAAAAAACCACTGTGCAGGAAATAAATTTCTTCCAACACAAATCAAATTGGAAAGAAAAATTCAGTGAATCCCGTGAGAAATTAAATTAGCTGTAGTTAATCAAGATTTTATGTAAATGACTATACTAAAACCTTATTTTATAATTATGTAAATAAAATTTTATTGATGCTACTAAATTAAAAAAAATTTCATACTAAACATGTATCGTACTACTGTTGATCACATATTAATTTACCATTACGTATAGCATACTAATTTTTTAATATCAACTAATACTAATTTTTATAATTCATTGCTGTTAAACATGAATACTCAAAACTACTCTTAATATATAATATTTAATAATTTATATCATAATAATTTGTAGATTTTAAAATTTAGTGCCAAGCAATAATAAATAATGTGAATGTTTTTTTTTTTTAATAGAGACTTTCTTGTACCATACTAAATTTAATTCAAGTTTATGCTATTAAAAATTTTATTTTACTAACTTTTTTTATTTTTCTTTATCTGAAAATTTCAAATTTAACTAAAATATCTTAAAAGTTTTCTAAAAAAAAAAACAAAAAAAATTAGACTTCAATAATTTAAGAAAAAGGTTTTTTTTTTCCAAACCTTTACGACAGGCTTCAGTGCTTTGTAATATATTTTATGTATATGAATTAGGCGTAACAGTAAAAATTAATAACAAAATTTACATGATTGGTTACAAAAAACAGAAATCAAATAAAAATATTCTGGAAAAATCAAAGAAAAGTGAAGTTTTATTTTTTCTGATTATTTTTAGCCACTTTGTAAATATTCCAACTGTAAAAAGCACGACTTTTACATTTTAAAAACATTTCTCCTGAAGCTTGATTTTTTTAATACCTGCGATTAATAATTTAAGAAAAAGGTTTTTTTTTCCAAACCTTTACGACAGGCTTCAGTGCTTTGTAATATATTTTATGTATATGAATTAGGCGTAACAGTAAAAATTAATAACAAAATTTACATGATTGGTTACAAAAAACAGAGAAATCAAATAAAAATATTCTGGAAAAATCAAAGAAAAGTGAAGTTTTATTTTTTCTGATTATTTTTAGCCACTTTGTAAATATTCCAACTGTAAAAAGCACGACTTTTACATTTTAAAAACATTTCTCCTGAAGCTTGATTTTTTTAATACCTGCGATTAATAATTTAAGAAAAAGGTTTTTTTTTCCAAACCTTTACGACAGGCTTCAGTGCTTTGTAATATATTTTATGTATATGAATTAGGCGTAACAGTAAAAATTAATAACAAAATTTACATGATTGGTTACAAAAAAAACAGAAATCAAATAAAAATATTCTGGAAAAATCAAAGAAAAGTGAAGTTTTATTTTTTCTGATTATTTTTAGCCACTTTGTAAATATTCCAACTGTAAAAAGCACGACTTTTACATTTTTAAAACATTTCTCCTGAAGCTTGATTTTTTTAATACCTGCGATAATGGTTTTTATTAGCGGATGATTTTGACATATTCAGCTGTTGTAATATTTCTGTTCTTGATTTTAAAGAGTGGCTGATTTTTATAAATCAGTGATTTTTATGACTACTTTGCAGATAATTTAACTGTTCCCGCTTTCTTTCAGAAGAAAGGAAACTTTTTGTTGGTATGCTCAGCAAACAACAAAATGATGAAGATGTTTTGAAATTGTTCAGTCCATTTGGAACTATTGAAGAATGTACAATTTTAAGAGGTCCTGATGGTCAGAGTAAAGGTATTTTGAAAACCTTTTTTTATATAGAGTTCACTCACCTTGTTTTTGTTTTTTCTAAAAAAAATGAATTTTATTGTAGGTTGTGCATTTGTTAAATATGAAAATCCTTTGGATGCCAAGTCAGCCATAAAAGCCCTGCATGGGAGTCAGACTATGAACGTAAGCATTTAAATCTTATCTTAGTAAGCATTTAAATCTTATCTTAGCGTAAGCATTTAAATCTTATCTATTAAAATTTGTATTGTGGTTGTTCATTACACTAATGGAAGTATATTCAGCTATTTTTCAATTTTTTTTTTTTAATATATTCATTTAAATAAGTTTGGCACAGATCTTTTATAGTAACTCAAGCACACCTTTTCTTTATTTTATTTTTTAAATTAAAAAATAAATAAATAAGTAAACATTTTAATGATAAACGGTTGCAAATAATATAATAAGCGTTTGCAATGGATTTTTAATGTAAGGTTATATTTATCTCCAGTAATAGACACACACACACTCAAGTAATAATAAATAATAATTTAGGAATTTTTCTGAGCTCATAATAAAATATTTTAGAATTTCACTGAACTTATTTAACCATAGTATTAAAACAGGGTGCATAGTGTTTTTAAAAAGTACTTAAAGGTGCTTATTTTCGATTTTTGTTTTTTAAAAGCCTTTAAAGGCGCTTCTCTCTTTAGGTGTTTTTAAAAAGTGCTTTATTTTCCCTTTTTTAAGATTACATTTTTCCTTTACCATGTTGATTTTTGCTTTCAATTATGTAAAAAGACACAGTTCACATTGTTCAATTCAGCATTTTCACAATTAATTCAGCCCTAATCTATTTCAGCGTATTGTCAGTTCGTAGCGAATGAAAATGCCCTTCGGTTTACATGATTTTTAACATTTGTCAAAAACAATGCCAAAAGGTTTTTTAATTTTTTTTTGACATGGCAGTTAAAACAAAGTAAAACTGTCAATTATCAAAAATTTTCCAATCCTGCCTAATTATGATATTATTTTAAAGTGCTTGAAAATATTTTTTGAGTGCTTGAAAAGTGCTAAAAAGGTGTTTATTTTTTGTTGAATAATTTTGCTACACACCCTGTAAAAGTTAATCTAGTTTAATTTTAAAGTTGAGCTTATACCCTGTAGCAGAATGTTTTCGAGCTGTGTGCGACAAAACAGTCTAGCACTAATATTTCTCTGCAAGATACTTTTAATAATAAAAAACATGCATGTTACTAATTTAAAAGAACAACTGTGTTTACAAAAAAAAAAACTATAATTTTTTTGAAATTTAATGTGTAATAATTTTTTATTCTAATATTATGGGTGATATTCTCAGATTTGTTGAGGGGGATAATGCATACGTTATTTCTTTTGCATTCTGTAAATAATTATCACAATAAAAAATCATGTAAACTGTTATCGAAAAAAAAAAGAGACAACTAAATCACACGAATTGGACTACTCAAAAAGGGGTTACTCAAATGCATAATCAGGGGTGACATTGGCCAAAAGGCAAAAAAGCTGAATTTCCACGCGAGTAAGTTTTACGTGTTTGCACTTGTTTAATAATAAATTCCAGACAATTTAAGATAATAAATAACTATGTGTTGACATAAAATTGTGTACTAATTTATTAATATATAAATGATTATATCGATACTTAACGTTTAGTAAAAAGTAAAATTACCAATTGAAAAAATAGCTAGAAATAATATTTTTCTTCAGTTCACTTGAGCAAGACAATTATTACTTGAGAAACTGCCTGGTTTAGCAAATTAAAGCTACTGAGAACATACATTAACGCTCCCTTTCTTTTACTAAATACTGTTACGTGATTTATGACAAATATATCAGTAATATGACTTTTTAAATTATTTAGAAAAGAAAGAAACTTTAGAGTCACTATGTTCATATTATCATCTAATCTAGCTAGAGCCATGTTAAACACATCAATAGCTGTGAAGTAGAAACATATAGTAACTCCTTAACATACAAAAACTGTTATTTTAGTTTTAAAAATTACATGATGATCAGCAGCTGTTTAGATAATTATTTTTCATCTGGTCAGAATTTCACATTTTATAGCATAAATAACAGCAGCATTATTTTTTAGATTTTGGTGCTGAGTTTATCAACTCTTTTTCCTAAAAAAAATTGAATCACTTTTTAAGTGATTGTTTTTGTTTGCTATATCTTTTATGTTAGCTATATCTTTTTTTCATTTTTATTTAATTTGCTGCAAATGCTTCATGTTTTACAAAACAAGCAAAAAGAATCATTTAAAAAGGTCAAATTGCTCATAATGCAGCTGAGAATGAGGGCAAACTAATTGGTGATTAATTTAGTCGTTAGCCCATCTTCAAACATATTTTGACAAATCCTATTTTTTCTTTCTTTACCTGCCTGTGTCACATTCTTCTTTCCAAGCACAGAATGTAAGTTTTTAATATGCCTATATATACTAATAATTGTCAATATTAAAACAGTCACATTTATAGTAACTAATTAAAGAAAAACTTACTTCTTACAAGAATCGCGACAATTGATTTCAAAATCATGTGAATACAAATAGCGATGTTGGATTTTAAAATCCCGTGAATATGAAACTCGATATTTTATTTTATAAATGAGAAAATACAAACTGTGTTCTAGAATTTTTAAATTGTGTAAATACAAATCACAATTCATAGCGTTTAGATTGCATAAATACGAACCACAATGAGTAATTTTTAGATTGCGTAAATACGAATCACGTTGCATAATTTTTAGATCGCGTGAATGCGAATCCCAACGCCTTATTTTAAAATCACATATAAATATGAAAATCGATATTTAACCGCCTGAACAAATCACGACATTGGATTTTAGACTCATGTGAATACGAATCGCTACACAGGTTTTTAAAAACGCATAAATAGAAATAGATATTTAGAATAGAAATAGATTTTTATATCTCGTAAATAAGAATCACAATGTACGATATTCAAATCGCATGAATAAGAATCGCAATGTGCAACTTTTAAATCACCCAAGTACCAAAAGCTATGTTTGATATTAATATTGCGTGAATAAGAATCGAAATGTTAGCGGATTCCAGGCTTGGGACCTCTAAAAGGCTCGTTTGAAGCAGCGACATCTTAATTGCAAAAATACGAGCTATCTAGCGGGTGGGTGAAAATTGGATTTGTATTTTCGTAGTGCTAGACACAGTACAAACTGTTTAAAAATGTCTGAAAGAATTGTTTTATTTATAAAAGAAATTAGGAGAATGTATAAAACTCGTAAATATAGAAGAAATTTTTTTTCCATACATAATTTAAATGTGTAAAATAAAGCTATTTCAGTACGTTTTCTTTTCTTTTTTTCTTGCATTTGGATTCAGCGAATGACCCGATTTAATGAAACCTTTTCTGTCTCCCGAGTCCTTCGTAACATGGGGATTCGACTGAATGCAAAACAAAGAAGTCAAAACAATATTTTAGATATTACTCTCACGGCCTTTGTTTTTAGTTTGTTAATTTTGCTGAGCTTTTAATAAATAACTTACTTTAAAATTCGTGTTTGAAAGTATTTTGTTAATAACTAACATTATTTATGAAATTGCATTAAAACTTGTTTGTTTCTTCAGGGGGCATCATCTAGTCTTGTTGTAAAGTTTGCAGACACTGAAAAAGAGCGGCAGGTCCGCAAATTTCATCAGATGTCGGGAAATGTCAACATTTTAAACCCCTTTGTGCTGAGTCACATTGGAGCGTATGGAGCTTATTCTCAAGTAATTATAGTTTCCTTTTGATTGTTATTACATGAAATTATTATTAATTGATGAATGAAATTCTAAATTATCTCTAATTTTGTTTTTACATTTTTAGCTTCCATATTTTTCATTGTTTGCTCCAATTTTCCATATTTTTCATTTCTTCCATATTTTTCATTGTTTGCTCCAATTTTAATGTTATTATATCTTAGTTCAGTGGTTCCCAAAAGCTGATCAACCAGAAGTGTTGAGTGACCCTTCCTTATACGGATATCACGCGAGGGAAAAATAAGAGCAATCATAACCTCCACACTATCCTCGAGTCTAAAGGCAATTTCGCAGTTCGGAATTGCCGATAGGGTTGCTTAATTGTCAAACAGTTACTCATAATAGGGTTGCCATTTTTTGTTACTTATCTTAACTTTAGGCTAATTTTTTTCCTTAATATGATGCCAGTATCTCATATTTTCACTGCTATGTTTGTTAAAGAGGGAAAAGTAAGTCCCAGATGCTCTAGAATTGATATACGTTTAATTTTATGTATTAATTTAAAGTATTATATCAAAATTTCATTTGATCATCTTCTTCATCTACGTCGTCGCCATTTTTATTTACATTACAAAAACCACAAAAATATGTAGAAAAGTGATAGGGATTTGACATGATATTGTCGCAAATCCAACAGTTCAAAAAGTGTTAACTGAAATTCAAAATTCCTGTATTATACTAACATCATATTAAAGATATCATAATGGACAATTGCAGCATCTCTTAATTTTCTTAAATTTCAATCTTTTTTTATTGTAATTTCTCTCCCGAATCCGAAAATCGGATTGTTTATAAAAGAAGCTAGGTAATTTCTGAATATTTTACTTTCCATTTTAGTTTTTGCATACTTAAGTAGAATTGCCACTGGAAAATACAGCTAAAATAACAGGGAAAATGCAGTTAATTTTGAATTTTTCCTTACAAACTGGGAAAAACAGGGAATTTTATTTCTTATTTTTGTCTTTTAAAAAATGCAGACCTTTCAAATCTAAAATTGCAATTTATGGGATATTTAAGAATGATATTTCAGCTATACTAAACTATTTCATTTGCTATAGCATTGTTTAAGTAGTATGTTCGGCAGTTTCTTATTTCTCCAAAATTTTCCAGCAACTAAAATTAGCCTCTTTGTCCTGAAATAGTTCACAAGAGTGCAGCGAATGTGTGTTTCCTCTTAATATATTGTGCATAATATGTGCAGGGAAAACACAGGGAATTTTTTTTTTGCAGATATCAGAGGCAACTTGTTGAAAATGATAAAAATAAAAATGTTTGAATTTGATTATTAACCCCTTGCCAGTGTCGCCCGAATCTAGTTCGGGCAACTACTACGTGCAGTATTTGTGATGCTCGAACTTACCTCGGGTAGGAGAAAAATTAAAGTTTCGATTTTGTGAAGCCCGAGCTGAGTTCGTGTTTCTTCTGTAGAATACTTATTTCACTATTTTCCTAATAGATGGCATTAGTGGCACTAGTTTTTATCCAATTACGACTTCAGTTGAGGGAGGGAAATGTGTGTGTGGGGGGGACATACCATACTGTAAAAGATTTGTAAAATTTATGCATTGAAAATCATATTGTTGTGTTTTTACATTATATTATACTAGTAATATTTTTTTAGCTTCAAAATTTTGTTTAATTTGCTCTAATTGAGTAAGATGTGTGTGTAATCCATTACGTTTTTATGTGTACATAAAAATTATAAATACAGTAGTTACTGCATTTAAAATTTTATTTTTGTAATAAAAAACCATTTTCTAACTTTTATTATAATATAAAGAACAAAATTAAATAGCCAAAAAAAAAATTCAATTTTTCTGAAATATATGTCATTGTTAAGGGGTTAAAGTTTGATTATTTCTGTGAATTTAGGTGTTGCACCAACATGCCCTAGCATCTGCAGTGGCTCAACAAAATTATATGAATTCTGTTTCCGGACCCCTGCAGCTTCCACCCATGAGCCCAGTATCTAATGGCTTATCAAGTCCAACGCTTGCAGCTAATCCTAGTATGTTTTTTACACAGCATCAAATTTTAGTTACTAGATGAATTTGAGGAATTGAAATTTTTCAATATATTACAAGTTTTCCCTTTATATATAATGTGACTTTTTTTCCCCTTTCTTTAAAGTGTATGAAAATTCTCCAAATTACTTTTTTTTTAAAAAATCAATTACAAATATAATGTGAATATTAATAGGAGAATCAGGGATGAGATTCTCCCGCGGATTCGCGGGTTTCCGCTTTTTTTCAGATTTTTCCATTTTTCCCGCTAATTTCCGCTGAAATTTTTTTTTGCCCAAGTTAAAATGTTTTATGAGGAATTTAATTTTCCGCGGAGGGAAATTGTTGAAGTCCCTTTTCCTCCCTCTGAAGTTTCTCTAAAAATCATTTCCTTGGGATAAAACTGGTTGACCTTTATACAGGGATGAGATTTTTTTTGTCTCTCGAATTTCAGCCTTTTTATCAAAAACTCCGATTCTCTAAAAGTTTCGTTTTTTTAAATAAATATCCCGTTTTTTTTAAATTCAGTCATTGAAGTAAAATAATTATATTTATTTACGATTTTCAAAGATAAACAGAAAATTCAATCTACGCCCTAGCTGCTAACCCTTCCGCATTTTTACTTATTTTAGCTATTTTCTCCGATTTCACGCACAGAAAATAAGATTTTCCGTATTTTTTATCCGTCGGCTGGATAGCTCGTATTTTCGTAATTCAGATCTCGATTTTTATTCACGCGATTTTAATATCAATCATCGATTTTCGTATTTACCTGATTTAAAAGTTGCACATTGCGATTCTTATTTACGCTATTTAAATATCGTATATTATGATTCTTATTTACGACATTTAAAAATCCAATATCGTGTTTTGTATTTATGCATTTTTAAAATCTCGATTTTATTATCAAATCTCGATTTTCGTATTTACCTGATTTAAAAGTTGAACGTTGCGATTCTTATTCAGGCGATTTAAATATTGTACAGTGCGATTCTTACTTACGAGATTTAAAAAATCAATATCGCGATTTGTATTTACGAGCTTTTAAAGCCCTATGTAGCAATTCGTATTCACGTGAGCTTAAAATCCAATATCGTGATTCGTTTTTGTGGTTGTAATATCGCGCGATTTAAAAATTATGCATCGTGATCAAAAAATTAAAAAATCATGATTTGTATTTTCGCATTTTTTAAATTCGATGTAGAGTTTCATATTTACGTGATTTAAAAGTCTCATATCGGGATTTATATTCACATGGTTTACAAGTTTAAAAATCGCACTTTTTTGTCACATTTTTGTTTATATATATATATATATATATATATATATATATTTTCTTTTTTTTCTTTTCTTTTTTTTGTTTTTTGGATTTCCTCTTTTTTACTTTCTGACTACTCTCATCCCTGGAGAATGTGGAACTGGAAAATTTACAAGTACAAGGGATAACTAGATATATAATTTCAGATAATGCATAATTATTACGAACAAAATGTTTTTTTTAAATATTTTTTATCATCTGTTATATTTATCTATTTAAAATCTATTAAAGGAACAATATTTTTCAATTGATTAAATTCTGATTCTTTAGAAGTGTGGTATCATTTGACAATTTTGCTTTATGTGGAATCACATCTGCTTTTGTTAAAAATCGTCTGCTTTTGTATAAAAATTAAAGGAGAACATTGTTTATTATTCTAAGCATTCAATTATTAATTACTGGTGGCAGGCGGTTATTTTATGAAGTTTTCTCCTTTTAAAACTGATGCATTTCTGATTCCTCCACTATTCACAACAAATTTTGTACTGAATAAATAAATTCTTTTTATTCACGAATTTTAAGAATTTTTTTTTTTTTTAAATTCAGCTGCTCTAATAATATCCTTCCATGTCTGGGGTTTTAATAATTATGTTAGCGCCTTTTTAACTGTCATTTCTGTCTGGTAATTTTCAAGAGTTGTTTTTATTTCATGTGATTAACAAGTTTTCCTTTTATTTTATCAGTTTTTTTTCCTAATAATTAAGTATGAAGTACATTGAAGTTTTTTAATAATTGTTTTTTTTTTTTAAATATTAATTGGGCGATTTTCATTAATCGTCAAAAAATAAATATGTAAATTTTGTATTTTTTAAATGTGTTTTTCTTGTCTAAACTTGTAAATGTTTTATTTTTTTAATTTAGAAGAGCTTTTCTTTTAAAATGTGTACTCTTTTTCATTGTTATTTGAGTTTGATAAAACATCGATACATGACACTTTTTAGCCGATCCAGAAAACCGGGAAATTCAGTCATCTGGGATAGCACTGATCCCGGGCACTCCCTATAATTGGTTCTCTACTGTATACATAAATGAAGAATTGTCTTGTTCGTCAAAAATATTACCCAGAATTTTATTGAAGTTTGCTTTTAAAACTTTAAAGAATCTCTCCTCCCTTGCAATTTATCTTGATTTGTACAGCTTATAAAATAATTAACCTAATATTTTTTTTAAACTTAATTTTTCCAGATCTCTCAATGATGCAGACTCTTTGTTTATATAATTTATTTTTGTGTACTTAATTTATTAATGGTTTATAATTGGTCTATTTCAGGTCTTGCCACCCATCCGCTTTCAGGAGCTTTACCTGCATGCCCTACACCAACTGTACCTAATTTTGCACTAGGGGAGATTGCACCTCAAGCAGACCTTTATGCCAGTGATATGACAAATTTATCTAGTACGTTTCAATTTTAATATTTAAATTATCTCGATTTTTTTTGTATATAAATACAGTGGTTTCGCAGTTGCAATAATGATTAGTGAGATAGCACTTTTTATGCACACTAATCAAAGTTGGAATTGAACAATGTTCATTTTGATTAGATATTAATTTCATACAAAAGGCGCACTTAGAATTTAAAATAAATCTCTTCCTGTTGTTGAAAAAATCAGTTATATGATTAAAATGTCTTAACTCTCACGAAATTAACTTTTTAGCACAATAAGAAAGTAATAGGAAGTTTCTGTATTGTACATTATCTTGTTAGATAGATGATAGGCACCTTTCTCTATGCAGTAATTGAAATTTTTTTTTTCAAAAGCTTTTTGTGAGTTTTTGGGATAAGAAAGTTGTAAAATATTTTTTTTTTTATTATTCATCTTATGTGAGTGTAAGTATTCTGAGAGTATTTTAATTCTGATATTAATATCGTACAATGTGAATAGCATTTTACAATTAATTTTTCATTATTTTCTCTGCTAATTCTAAGAAAAAATATTCATTTGTTTCTTAATGTTGTTATTTTTGTGCAAAAGATAATTTTAATTGTTTTAAAATTTATTATTGCAGGAAACTTCTTTTTAGTGTATCCTGCAGACTATACAGAAACTTTAGAAAAAGGTGAAAATTTTTATTTAGGTTCTCTTGATTTTTCATGATCACTTCTTGTTCTAAGAGTTGTTTTTTTTTTTAAATTTTATTTATTTAATTTGTGAACAGTGTTAATTGCTAATTTATGTTGAGACATGTCCTAATTTGTGTAGTAAGTAAGCTCAACAGAATTATTTTTATACTTTCTGATTTTTTATTCTTATATCAATTTTTTTATTGTCTGGGAATGAAGAGATGCCAGTATTGCTTTAATTTTTGCATCGAAATTTATAGTATTCATGCCTAATTGTTCAAAAACTTTAAAAGTATTAATATTATTTTTTTCCTAAATTATTTTTATTTTATGCGTAAATTTTTTGTTATCTTTTTACAATCATGTTTGTTAGTTTATCTTTTAATTTTTTTTTTGTATAAAGCACATTTAGCATATTTTACTAAATGTTGAGTTGCTAATTTGTGAATATAATTTTCAGTATAAATTTTGTAAGATCTTGCACCTGTTATATGAAGTTTGTTACAAATTTTATGACCGTTTGTGGAAATTTAATTAATGAATTTAACATATTACCTGCTGATTTTTGATCTTAGAAAGTTAGATTCATTATTGTTTGTAAGAAAAGGCTGATTTTTCCCTTCATAAAAAACATACACAAAAAACAAAACAATGGTGGTGTTGCCAGTGAAGATAAAATTTGGCTACACAGTTAAATGTACTTTAAATAGGAAGTTGCTCTGATTAAACTTAAAATTTGACTTACGTGAAACTATTAATGCAGCTGTATTTAACACAGCCACTTAAATTTATAATCATAAAGACCTTTGTCTGTGTTTAGTGGCTAATTTTTTTTTTTTTTTTTTTNTCTTCTGAGAGAAGCCATTTAAATCTGTCTCTCTCTTTAGGTCCTACTCTTACTAATGCAGAAACAATTCAACCAGCTTCATATTCTAGTCTACCATCGTTTCCCTGCATTTGTAAGTCTTGGCTCTTGTTACAATATGAAATTTTGTGATTTATAGCATAGGTTTCCAAACTTTTTTTTTTTGGATCATTTTGAATGCTAACAGCCCTTTAAAAATAATATTTAATAAAACTTTATTTGTTCCAATTTAAGTCTTAACACATTCTACTATAATCATGTTGTGTATCTTATTATTTCTAGCAAAAGAATAATTTTAATGAAAAAAAAAATCTTTTTAATTTAGTCATTAAGAATTTGATCGCACTATGAAAAGTTTGTTTATAAAATCCCAGAGCAAAAATCAGTCAATTTAAAATATACTTACTCTGGTCTTATAAAAATAAAAATAAAAACTAGAAAAATCAGGAAAATTTGAAACCTGATTTGAGTGGTCACCCTACAGGAGAATCATTTTAATGAATCAAAATCATTTTAATTTAGTTATTAAAAATTTGATCGCACTATGAAAAGTTTGTTTATAAATTCCAAGAGCAAAAATTAGTTTAAAATTTAAAATATACTTACTCTGGTCATATAAAAATCAAGTTCAACTCTTAATTTGATTTGTTATCTCTGTATTAAGGTTTCGATGCCCAACAGAAAATAATGATCACAATCCACGAGTAAAATAAAAGTGCCAAACTAAAATATCCTTTTAAATTCTGGNGAAACTATTGTGTGCAATTTACCATTAGATCTAACTCAACAAATTGTTTGGCGCAGCATATCCTCCTTTGGATCTTGTGCCATAAAACTTCTACATTCAATCAATCAATCAACCTTTTAAATTCTGGAGGTGTGTGTTATTTTTTCAGGTGCAATCAGGGTTGCTACCCCACAGGGAAAACCTGGAAAATACAGGGAATTTAGAAATCAGATAAAATAACAGAAAATGCTGGGAATTTTGAATTTTTCCTTACAAACTGGGAAAAAACAGGGAATTTTATTTCCTGTTTTTGTCTTTTAAAAAATGCATATTTAAAGATGATAGTTCAGCTATATTATATTATATCATTTACTATAGCATTATTTGTTTTATGTTTCTTTTTTCTTCAAGTTTTCCTGCAATTAAAACTAGCATCTTTATCCTGAAATAGTTCACAAGAGCGCAGTGAATGTGGGTTTCCTCTTAATGTATTGTGTATAATATGTGCAGGGAAAACAGGGATTTTTTTTTACGGGTATCAGTGGCACCACTGATAGTTTATTTTGAGTGTTTAGTTTGTCTCTCATGCCTTTAAACTTTGCATCTAATGCTATAAGTTCTGCTAAATAGAAAGGAACAATTATACTTTTTGCTTTTAAAATTTGTGAAATAATTTATTTATAAAACTTTTCACCTGATGAAATTCTTTAAAAAATGTTTTGTAGCTGCATATCCTGCGTCATCCTATGGTCAGTATGCTCTATGTCAACCGCCTCCTGCTGCTGCATCCCCTATACAAAGAGAAGGTGAGTGTTTGATTAAACTAAAGTTGACATCATGCTTCTTTTGAGAGAAGCCATTTAAATCTTTTAGGTCAGAATCATTCCTGTTGTACACCTGCTGTAAAAACCAACTGTTCATTTTTTATTCTAATATAACAATTTGAAAACTTGAAAAGGAAATGTGATATTTTAAAAATAATGAATAATTTTTTTTCTTCTGTACATAGCTCAGGTAATTTTCTGTATTTTGAAATGTATTATTGTACGCAGGTCCTGAGGGCTGCAACCTTTTTATTTATCACCTACCCCAAGAATTTGGAGATGTTGAACTAATGCAGCTTTTTCTTCCCTTCGGCAGTGTTGTTAGCTCCAAAGTATTCATTGACCGTGTCACCAATCAAAGCAAATGTTTTGGTTTGTCCTTTTCATAATTATTATTTTTATTTTAAACTTGGTTCTTCCTTACTTGTTTTTGTTCATGTTGATGATTAATCACATTGTTTGCAAGTTATTCTAATGTATGTATATGACTATTTGTAAGCAAAGATGATTACCGAATATTTTTTTATATTTTATAACCCTCGTTGAACAGCCGACCCAATTTTGGGTTTACAACTACTAATATTCAAATCCGTAGCCTTGTAATTTTGAACCAATCCGGAAGCAAGGAAACTCCTGGATCAATACCCCCAGAGGTATGATTTGTAATAGGTACAAGGAGGACTTTGTGAATCACCAAATTTGTCATGCATCAGTCACCATTTACTACACGGGGAGTCTGGTCGGCGGAGATTGAACCCACTACCTCTTGTACATGGACCCAGTGCCCACCAACCAGGCTATCCTGGGCCAGAGTTGCATATATATATTATATCCGTTGTTGAACAGCTAACCCATTTTTGAATTTACGACTGCTAATGTTCGACTCCATAACCTTCTAATTTTGAGCAAATCCCGAAGACAAGGAGACTCCTGGATCAGTACCTCCAGAGGTCTGATTTGTTATGGGAACAGGGAGAACTTTTTGACTCAACAGATTTTACGTGCGTCAGTCACCATTTACTACGCAGGGAGTCTTCGGCTAGCGGGAATCGAACCTACGACTTCTACGACACAGGCACAGTGCTGTACCAACCAGGCTATCACAGTATAGAGTTTCATATATGTATAATATATTGCCTCGAGCCACGATGGCTCAGGAGATAGAGCGTTCGCCTTCCATTGCGGTGAACCCGATTCAAGTCCCAGTAGATACGAATCCCGCATCCGGCTGGCACAAGGCTGATATTCCGCTCCACAGTTCTGTGCTGAAATATCCTCAGTGGTAGACAGATCATGGGTTAGAATCCCTTTGCCGTCAGGCTAACTGTGGAAGTTTCTCGTGGTCTTCCTGTCCATGTAACGCAGACGCGAGTTAGTTCCATCAAAAAAAAGTCCTCTACAAAGGCAAATTCCCCCCCCCCCATACTTGGTCCAGGAGTTCCCTTGTCTTCTGGATTGGGTTCAAAATTACAAGGCTATGTAATTAAACAGTAGTAGTCGTAAACCCAAAAATTGGGTCGGTTGTTCAACGATGTTTATAAACAAATATATATATATATTGCCTTAGACTGGGGGTTTAAAAAAACCAAATCCAGGTGGCTATTGTATACAATTTCTAGAATCTGGGAGGTAGGCCACCTGCTGCCTGAATCTGAAGACCCTAACACAAACAATTCAAAAGTTATAAAAGGGGAAACACACACATACTCTTCCTTGTATTATATTTTATTATTGATAATATCCCAAGTAAATATAAAACATAACTTTTAAGAATATTGTGAAAATTTTAGTTCCTAAATTTTTTCTCAAGTCTTGAATCCTCTTCCTTCCTTAAATATTATTTTTTGAAATAATATTTTTTCTTTAGTTTAATGCAGTTTTGTCCAATCCAGTTACAATTTTATTGTTTCTGATATATTTATAAATTTGAGAAAATAATCAACATAAAAAAAATTTTATTCTTTAAGTCTGTTTAATTCAATTTAGTTTTAATGTAATATAGTCATTACTTTTAATAATTTGCAATTTCATAAGTCTGCATAATATGTGCTGTGAAACGTTTTACGTGAAATTTATACTATTTCAAGGCTGCCGACTTTCTACGCTTTTTGCAAAAATTTATTCTGGTGGTAACATTCATATTTTGATATATATCACGGCTGTGTTTATGATTTAATGTATTATTCTTTTTTTCATTTTTTTTTCCATTTAAACTTAATTTCCACACCACTACACGTAAATGCTTTAAAAGCACATATGCAGCTCTATTTTCAGAGCTCATTCTAGGCAGAAAAAAGGGCAGGGTACAAAAGTTTTAAAAAAGGGCATTATTATTCTAAAAAGGCAATAATTTCTTTTTATGGGCTTTACACGTTCTATTAAAAAACATTGTCAATTAGTAAAAGATTTTTTTTCTTCACTTTACTAAAAGTAGCAAAGCAATCATATTAATTACTAATTTTTATTAATAAATTAACATATATATATTGAGTTAATTGGCTAATTAGCTTAGAAACTTATTTAAAATGCATGCATATATTAATAAAATAATAAATGTATGTTTTTAAGTGTCTGTAGTTATGATTTAATGATAGTGGAAGTAACTCAGGGTTCCCACGGTCCTTGAGAGTCCTTGAAAGTCCTTGAATTTTTTTTGTTGCTAAATTTAGGTCCTTGAAAGTGCTTGAAAAATGTCTTAGGTCCTTGAAAAACTTGATAGGTCCTTGAATTTGTCCAATACTGCCGACGGCCCTTTTTTTAAAACACCTACGGATCTTTCTCGTTCTTTCTGTTTTGTTCCCGAGCTCTCTCACGTGGTTTTTAACGCCACCGTTTCTAACCGGGCCTAGCGTCTTGGTGTCTGCCAAGCGCGCGGAGCACAGCAGACAATCAATGCGTTCGGGGCGATACTCCACTTCATCTTCTGTCGCATATGCTTAGATCTTCTTTTTTCTTATCGAAACTGGAATACTCTCGAATTTTGTAACAATATGTACTTTGTAGTTTTCAATAAATTTGCCGTTTTACCATCCGCACTTGTCCTTACGTTTGCGTCATTTCAAAACTTAATTGTAAAGCGTATTCGCAAAGGCACTACTTCGTATTTGTGTTATGTAGTTTAGACTAGTTATGCCTGGGTAGTGCTATTTTAATCCCCANAAATAAGATCGTGTGTTTTGACAGGTTTTGTTAGCTTTGACAACCCCCAGAGTGCCCAGAATGCAATCCAAACGATGAATGGTTTTCAGGTGGGTACAAAAAGACTTAAAGTGCAGCTGAAGCGCCCAAGGGAGTCAGGGCGGCCTTATTGACGTCCATTTATCAAGTCTATGGTAATGATTTTTTCTATCTCTATCAGAATTAATGATTAGCTACGTGTGAGGTGTGACTATTAAAACATTGTTGCTATTAAATAAGAAGTAAAACATTATACATGGTGCATAGCGTTTTTAAAAAGTGCTTAAAGGTGTGTATTTTCGATTTTCGTTTTTTAAAAGCCCTTAAAAGTGCTTTTTTTTTGTTAGGTGTTTATAAAAAGTGCTTAATTTTCCCTTTCCGAAAATGATATTTTTTTTCTTCGTTACCATGTTGATTTTCGCCACGTATGATGCAAGAGCTTGCTTTTCTTATTGTTTTAAAATTTTCACAATTCATTCAACCTCAATCCATTTCAGCCAGTCATTTGACATGTTTGATGAAATACTTGCGAGTCCGCATGTGCGTCAACTGAGCTGAGTACGGCGAGATTCTAACACTCTCATGTGCAACTCTGCTGCATTTTGCAAGATATACACAATTTCAGGCTTCATTTTCCACCCTCTGACTTCTAGCCGAAAAATCTCGATCTTTTTATGATTGCTAATATAATCGAGGAAAGAGTTCTTTGTCAGAAAGTAGTTGTTTTATCATGATCATGTAAAGTCTTAGAAAATTAATTTGCATTTCGTTAATGTATATAGTGCTGAAAAATAGTTTTTGAGAGCTTAAAAAGTATTTAAAAGGTGCTTATTTTTTGTTGCAAGGTTTGGCTATGCACCCTGTTATATTTTGAATTAAAGGGTTTTTTTCCGCCTTCGATATATATTCACCCCTCTTCTAACTTTTCTGCACACATTGTAAATTTTCCATTGTTCTAAATAGTGGTCATAAGGTGTGTCCCAGGCGCAAGTGCGTGAACGCAGATGCAGTGATTATTTCTTATATTATTTCCTACATTATTCTTTTGTTGGCAACATATTTTATATATATATTTTTTGTGTACACTTGTGATAGTAAAAAGAGTTTGTTCTATGAGATACTTGTTTTAGTGTTGATTATAATTAGAAAACATTTACGTTAATAACCAACACAAGGTGGATGGTCTAACACTAAGTTATTGTACTAGGCTAGAAACCTCTTGACAGACAACTCAGAAAGAACATCTAACTGCAATTCGAATTTTTTTTCTTTTCGCATAGTATTAATATTTCTTTCTTTCTTTCCATGGAGCTTAGTGAAAAAACTCACGGTAGAATAATATTTAGTATAGTAATGCTGATTTATTTTTTATTTGTTTTTGAAAGGAAGGTTAAGCTGAGTGGGAATCATCTTCAGCCTCTTCTTGTTTAATCACTCAAAAACTTGCGCATGTGATTAACATTGATTGCCATGCAATTTTTGTAATATAAGTTTCATGCGCACTTTTTCCAATTTTTTTGTAAAATTAATCAAGGATTCATTGCTCTATTCTTACACACTCATAATTTTTTTCTATATAACAAAACATTAGCTATTATATAAACAAAAGCCACAGTCAAACTAAATTCTTTGTGTCTAATTCATTACCTCTTATGTAACCATATCTCGTATATCATTGTAAGCATCATATTTTCAGGTTTTTCATCTACTTACAGATTCTGGGTTTCTTCGGCTACATTTAAAAAAAGAAAGAATTATTTTAATTGTTTGAGAGTAAAATAAAATACAATTGTATTATCTACACTTAAAGGTAGAATCGAAGTTTTACAGCACATAAAAAAGCTTTTTTGTGTTTATAAATGACCAGTTAGAGACAAAACGTATCCTCAGTCTTTTATTTTATGGTTTAAGAAGACGGTGAGTACAGGCTTATTTTAAGACAGAGTTTGCTAAAGCAAAATGTATTTATTGTAAATTAGAATTATCAAAATATCTACAACGTTGTTAGGTTGCGACCAATATAACGCCAGGAATAACGATAGTGTTTGACAAATCAAGAAAGAACCAACCACAACTCTGATTATGTGTTATCAGGTCAGTATGTGTGCAGTTCCTAGAAACGAGATGTCACATCATTTGCATACCCACAGTTGTCCTCTTAAAGTTTATTATAGACTTTTATTAGCATGTATGCTAAATTTAATTTATTTGATACTTGACTGAAATCAAACACACTTTTTCTTTAATTATTCATGAACATAATGAAATTCTACATCTTTGTGCCTAGATCTATGATTATTAAGATTTCTTTCCAAAGTGAATAGCATTTAAAGAATCGAAAACGTAATTTCATTTTTTATTTTATTACTGTCGTTGAACAGCTGGCTCAATTTTTTTGATTTACGACTACTACTGTTCAAAGCCATAGCCTTGTACTTTTAAACTCAATGCAGAAGGCAAGGGAACTTCTGGATCAAGTGTTGTAAGAAATTTGCCTTTGTGGAGGAATTTTTGATGGAACTTACCCGCATTTACGTTGCATGAAGAGGAAGACCACGAAAACCTCCCACAGTTAGCCTGGCGGCATAGGGACTCTATCCCGTGATCTGTCTATCACTGAGGATATTATATGTCAGCACTGTGGTCGCTGCGAGCAGGGTGCGGAATTCGTATCGACCAGCTATCGCTGGGATCTGAACCTGGTTCACCTCATTGTAAGATGGACGCTCTATCCCCTGAGCCACCCTGGCTCGCTCTGTTGTGTTATTCAGGATTGATTGTGATTTCTGGAATTTTCGCTAACAGTGATCCGGAAGTTTCCAGAGATCGAAGGTCCAGGCATTTAAAAAAATCATTGATCACAGAAGTTTCAGGAAATCAAATTTTCAAAGGTGGAACTTAAAAACACAGTTTATTTTATTTGTTTGTAAGTGAGAGCCAGAGAGATACTTTATAAGCTTATATTCATGATTAATATTCATTTTTTATCAGTAAATAGTTGTTATAGTCATAAGCTCACGAAAGAAAGACATTTTTTGTTAATTTTAATTATTTCTCCAGGTCATCATAGGTATGTGTAAATGGTATAGGTATGTATAAAATTTTAAATATATTTTAATTAAACTAAGAAATATTGAGAAAAGGGAAAAAAATCCCTGTTTAAATTTTTTTCTAATTTTTCAATTTAAACTTTAACCCAAGAAATTTTCTGGAATTTTGTCTTGGACTTACAATCACCCCAGGTTATTAGTTTGTCGTAATATCAGAGTTGCATTAAATTAATAATTCTGATATTTTCAGGTGCCAAAATAAATCTTCATATTGAATGGCCGCCCAATAAATTGAGAGAAAAGTGCTTTTTTATAGAAGAGAAGAAAGCTTCATATTTAATCTTTTCACTTCATCCGAGGACTACATTCATCAATTCCCTCTCCCAGAGAGGGATTTTGGACTACGAAAAGGGTTATTTTTTTTTCTTTTTGCTTTAGCCCTCCCTACCACCACAACCCTTGTCAATGATATATGTAGCTGAAAACTTTTGCGGTTGCACTCCCTGATTGAAATATCTTAAATCATATCATTGATGTTGCCAAGATTTGAAAAGAGATGTGTATATCCTAGTATTTTATTGTCATCACAGACACTTTATTTATAATGTATTTTACATGAGAATTTTCTCTCATACAATTGTGTAAATATTTTTATTTCTCTTTCCCTCTCCGCTGCGATATATATATATATTCCACCTGAAAAAAAAGAATGTCTATCATTATTTTTACGCTCCTATTTGGAGAAGTGTATTTTAAATGAAATTTAAATTATCCTCTTGAGAGAAATAAACTGTACAAATTTTTAAAATAATTCCATTTAAATATTTATAATGTAAAATTTAATTCTTTTTTTTTTTTGATGAGTATCTTTTTAAATGAAATTCTATTTTTGGTCATAACGAATTTTAATCAGAAAAACAAAATTTGAAAAATGAAAAGTGTGTTTTTTTTATCAAATTTTTGAAACAATTTATCTGAATCAATTTATTTATGTCCCATATATCTGAAAGTAAATGTTCTAAAGTGAAAATATTATTCCTTCAAATCATGATCTGTACTTTTATAAGCATTTGATATTAAGCAGAATTTTAGAAATATATCAAAAGAATTACATTTGAGTGACTAACATTGTATTTTAATAAATGATTGCATTGATATACGCATTTGTAACGATTTTTTTTTGTTGTAACAATTTGCAACAATTATTATTATTATTTTTTTACAAAAAATGACTCCTCATTTTTTTAAAATTTTTTTCACGAATTTTAAAAAGAATACTGTTAAATCCCGTTATAGTGAACGGACATGGACATGGTGTCTGCGGACATGGGCAATTAATCCACTATAAACTGTGGTTAAATATATCCAAATTTTTTGAACTATTTTTTTTTTTTAAATATGACAACAGCATTGTTAGAAATACTGATTATGATTTTACATAATTTGTTATAAATTATTAACTGATTAAAGGGAAAATATATCATTTATCAAAAAGAAAAGTTATTCCTTTTTATGTTCTGTGAAAGAAATTAGTGATTTTTGATTGACCATGGTTAAATTTTAAAGTAAAATTCAACTATTAGTAAAGAATCCTAAATTTTCTGGTCGTGATTTTTTACAGGAAATTTTTTAAATTTAATTAACGCTGTTTTCCTTTCCTAGATTATTTGTTCTTCATCATAAAATGGAGAGATGTGCTATTTACCAACTTGTTAGCTCTAGTTTGAAAGCTGGCAAGTTTAAGATTTGACACATAATGCCATAGTTTGCAATAACACCTCAAATTTGAAGTTGAACAAATAAACTAAATTTACAGCCAACTATAAATGAACTATCAATTTTATTAGCTGTCTCTATCAGCGCATAAGTAATGTTCCTAGTATGGGAATTCAAATGGACCGCTAAAAAAGTTTGCTAAAACTGAGTGTTCACTATATCCAGGGTTCATTATAGCGGGGTTCAATTATGCATCTATATACAGATATATAGTCATTACTGAAACACAACCTTAAAACTAAAGTTGGATTGCCAAATTTTTCTGGTATACTGTTTTAAAATTTTCTTGCAAACATTAAATCTATAAAAGGAAAAAATATGCCTGAAACTATGCATTTAAAAAAACGTGTTATTTCATTTATGTTATAGAAAGAAAAAAAAAACATTTCTTTTTATATATATTGAATACTTGAAAATATGTGTATAGTAATGTATTTTACAATTTTTATTTATCATTATTGTATCTTTGCTTGTCTTAAAATTCTATTCTGTAAATACAATGAGAAAAAGTGATTTATTTTCCAAACCTTATAAGTCATTTGTTAGTCACTCAGTGGATAAAATACATCTCTATTTTAATACAGTTGTTTTAAATGTGGTTATTTGATACCAGTGTCATTGTTTGTGGGATAAAAATAATAGGTTTGCTAATCTGATTATCGATGCTTATGTAGTATATAGAAAATCAAATGAGCTTTGACAAATGTACTCAAAGAATTAAAAACTGCAGAAGTAATTTTTCTCCATTAAACTTATTTCTTGCTGTTTGTTTTCGCATGAAAGTCAGTAATGCTGTCAAAAGAATTTTATATAATTTGAAAGGAATTATATAATTGAAATCTCTATTTTGTTTAAAAAAAAATAATCGCATTGCATTATTTTTTTTCTTTTCTTCCTATAATTTGATGACATTTTCGTTTTGAATTGATGCTATGATTCATCGTAAATAGGGATAGTAAACTTTATTTCTCGGTGGACAAAATCATTCTAGGAGAAATCGCTTTTTTTCTAACTCAAATGATGGAAACAGGAAAAATATATATATTACAAAAAATTTTTAACTGTTTACAATTGCATTTCAGTTTAAATAATATTAATTTCCAAGCTATTTAATATGTTTTTTTTAAAAAAAAGTTTTCACTAGAAAGTAACAGTTAAAAAGACAATAAAATTCAATAAATTAAGCCATCTTATAAAAAAGTTGCTTATTTAGGGTTGGAAAATACAAGGAATTAAAAAATCACCTGAAAGGCAGGGTATTTAAATTTTTTTTTTCTCCCTACAAACTAGGAAAATACAGGGAATTTTATTTCTCATTTTCATCTTTTAAAAAAAGGTGACCACTCAAATGGTAATCAATGGAATATTTCGGCTGTACTAAACTATATTATCTCTTAAGTTTTCCAGCAATTAAAATTAGTATAGTTAACCAAATACAGCTCACACAGAAGCACAGTAATTGTTCTGTTTCCTCTAAACATATTTTGTATAATAAATATGTACAAGGGAAACACGGGGAATTTTTTTCTAGATTTGAGTGTGCAACTCTGTTATTCATTTAGACCAATTCAATGTTTTAAGTGAAGAAGTTTAGTAGAGTCTAATTTTACAATTATATAAAGAACTGTTAAAAAGGTAATCAAATTTTGTAAATGCAGTAAATTTATATAATCACATATCGATTTCACAATTGAAAGCTATGATTTTCACAACTATTAATTTTTGTAACCAAATACTTTTGCATAAGAATACTCAGGCCAATTCTTAAATAATATGACACATAAATTTTAAAATTACTAAACTGAAATAAAGTAGACTAAAATAACGTAAAAGTAGTAGTTATTTTAAAGAAAGAAAAAATTAAATTTGAAAATCTGTTTTTGTTTAACTTTAAACTGTTCTTATACAACTTATTGCTAAATAATTATATGGGTAATCTTCAGTTGTTTTTTTTCGCCCAGTTTCTTAAATTTCTTTTTTTAAAGTTTTTTCTATTGTCTTATAAAAAATAGACTTCCGGAAGAAATACCATTCCTGATATATATGTATATAGTCAGTAGTGAAATTATTTTGAGTACTAAAATTAATTAAATAGTAGCATGCATATTTGTAGTAACTGTGCATATTTGGAAGTATATTTAATGAAATATTCATACACAAAATTGTGGTGTCTACTTTCTCCTATGGTTTTAAAAACAACCTTCTTCTTTGTATAAGAGTTTTTCATTTTGCTAACTTGCAAAATTGAATGTGTAATGTCTAGTTCAGAATAAATAACAATAATAAATAGTTGAGATCTAACTGGATAAAAATATATATCATTATAGCTTTCAAGTTTTATAAATTGCTCTTTGATACAAATGTATCTAATATGTATATCAGCAATAAGTCAGGAATAAATAAAATTTTAGGAAAAATATTTAAATTGGGAATTTTTCAAAGAAATTTTCCTTAATTAATTTTTCCTTGCTTAATTTTTAATTAATATTAATTTAATTATTTTCTCCTTGCTTAATTTTTATTTAATTAATTTTTCCTTCCTGAAGTTGATAAAACTGAGCAAAGAAATGAACCATGGGAAAAAGTACTGCTGTTGAACTTTGAGTACATTTATCCTTAACCAGTAACTGGTGCTCCTACTCAAACAAGTATTCTAATAAATGCCAAAGAGGAAAAAATATAAAAGAGTTGGATACTCTTGTCCATTTAGTCCAGTCCAGAAAAGAAGAAAGTTGTATAGAATGTTGGTGTCAATAATTATTTAAACATGTTACATATGTAAGAGACTAATCAATCGTGTAATAGTCCATGATAGGCTATTTGAGGAATTCTGTAAATTATAACTTTTTCTCTTCCTGTAAGAGAGACTATAAGGCTCGATCCATATTTAAAAAACAAGAAAGCCATAATATGTATAGACAAGGGGGAAATGTTTTTGTAAACTAATGCTAGTCTCAGATTGTAAAGGAAAAATAATTTTTATAATGCTTTTGATGCAAATAAAATTAATTAAAACAAGGATTTAAAAAAAAAAATTGCTTTTGAAATCTTCAAGGGAATGAAAATTCTGTGTAAGAAAATGCAGTGAAGAATTTCCTCCGTCATCTAGAATGCTCGGAGCCCTTTAATTGAAGTCTTCTTAGATGTTAAAACTTAAATTTTTTAGCCCTGTTTTTCATATTTGCTTTTATTCCTGACCATTTCTTTATAACTTTGGCTTTTCTATTAAGATATCAATTGAATTAAAGCATTTATTCCCCTAATAAGGGATGCACAACCCATGGGCCAATATTTGGCATATGAAGCTTTCTAACAGGATCTCTGAACTGTTATATAAGGAAAATACATAAATAATTTAATTTATAATATATAAATAATTATTTTAAAGAAAATATGTAAATTTAATATTAATAAAAGAAAGAGTAGCAAAAAAAATCTTATTTCTCTGTAACTAATCTAGTTTGATCTTCCTCGGAATATAAGATAAACTGATTGATCTGATAATTTATGGATGGTGATTTCAATAAAGCAAGCATAAACAAACGCCTAAAAATACACTAGAAGAGTTCCAGTTAAAAAGTTACTAATTGCTTATCTTATGAGCCTGTTCATTCGGACTTTCGATTTTGCTTATCAAAGCATATTAATTATTAAAGCATCGAAAGTAAAAGTATGAAATCAAAATTTTTTAACAGTTCATTCTATCATATATATTCTGTCATCTGGAATTGTGTTGCCACTTACGTAAAAAGCATAGGCGTAGTTTTTAATTCCCTGTTTTAGCTGTCTTTTGATTAATAATTTTGTGCAAATTGTTAATGATGCAGGAAAGCTTATTAATTGCTTATATACTGTTGAAATATTTATTATTAAAGGGAATTATTATT